GGTATGAAATAAAAGATGGGACTGTAGATACGGAGCACTATATACATAACATGATATACAAAGCAGTTTAATTGCATACTAGAGATCGCGTAACAAATAAGAATGACTTTATATACAGGACATTGAATTGGAACACAATATACAAGACAAGTACATGTCAACGGTCAAATACATAGTGGAATTGCATAGCAATATGAATAAGTTATAAGTGGTGGTATTTATGTTGCTAGGAGGTGCTAGTTGAAACGTTGAGAGCTGCAAGTTTACAGTATTTGTTGACTAGCTGATTGAAGTAAACGTAAGTGGAATGTTCGTTGATCAACTCGTTGCAACTACAGGGCCAGTCCTTTCCCCGAGAGTTGATTATAATCTTTAAATGTTGCCGCTCAGCATCGAGCATTGGGCAGTTGAAAATATAATGAAGTGCTCCATCCTGAGTGCCACAGAGGGAGCATGTATTGTTCGAGTAGTTGGTAAATCTGTTAAGATAGCAGTGGAAATTACCATGGTTGGTAAAAAATTGCGATGTGGAATGGTTGAGTTTCAACCATTTATAGTTATAAATGTCTGAGATATGCGGGAAGAAGTTATTGGTAATTGATTGACGGTTGTTGTTCCAGTCATTCTGCCAGTTTTCGAGGAGATTGTTCCAAAGGATGTGCTTTAAGGTGGAATTGCTCATATTATTATAACTAGTGGTGAGAGTGAGGTCAGTGGCAGCCTCCTTTGCTAGTTCGTCTGCCCGCTCGTTACCAGGATTACCCTGATGTGCACGAGTCCAGTTCAAGAAATATTCATTGGTGGAATGACGAATAGTGCAATAAATATCAGTAACTAGGTAGTGTGGATGTTTGTTTTTAATGCTGGCAATTGTGGCTTGACTGTCAGAGACGACGTTTATACTAAGGCCAGAGAAATTATTTTCACACCAGTGTATGGCGGCATTTACAGCAAAGAGCTCAGCCTGAAAGACTGAGCAATGGTCGGCAAGTCTGAGTCGTTTGTGGAAGATTTCATCTTCGTCCCTATATACCACAAAGCTGCATCCAACATGATTATCAACTTTGGAGCCATCCGTAAACACTTTGCAGTTGTTATTAAAGTTCCCATTAAATTTACTATTTGCTACACTCAGGTTTTCTTTTAGACCCTTTGGAGGACTACGGCCTTGCAGCCAAAAACTGCATGCCAACGTCAAACATAGAGGGTACTGTAGCCTTATGTATGCTGTTCAGAGGGATCCTATCTTTCTCTCTGCTGTCTATCTTCTTTCCCTCCTCCTTCCCCTCTCCTTTCTCTTATCCTCTTTTCTGCCGGCTAAACACTTTGTGTACAGCCGATGTCTTTCTTGTATGTATGTACTATACAACACTATTTTTAAAGGTCAAATGTAGTTTGCTTATGCTTAGAACAATAAATCATGATCAGCAAATGTTCATACACCTAGTAATAGATGTGTTTCTATCAACAATGCATCATTATTTCCATATAAGTTTCTATGGTTAATATATTTATGTTTTGAGGGTTGTTACATATGAATCTAACAAATGCTGACTAAGTTGATGAATGCATGAAATACTCATCTGTTTATATAGAAAAAATTTATATATAAACGTATATAATAAGATTAAGCATTTACATAATAAAAGTGAATTATAAACTGTATAAATCATAGTTGATTACATGTGATGAAATTTTGTAGTCATTGGATTGTTATATATTAGCATAGTCTTAAATATAGAAGTAACTTTTTGATTGAAATGTATTTATTGTATAATTGCCATATTAAAATTAATAATCAATGTTTTATAATTTTTTATTTATTGTAGTTGAAGCAAGTAGTAAACAACTAGGCATTGTGGCCATGCGAGAAATATTATTAAAACCATTTCAAAAATGTTTTTGTCAGTTGTATTGTGAATGCAGTGTAAGTAGTAGTCTTTTTGTATGTTATTTATAGATTTAAAGATAAATCAAATATATCAACAATTTCTTGAATTAAATTGATGGTTCATGACTTCATTAATGCTATAAGAAGATGCATTACAAGTTAGAACAAGTGATTTTTCCAGATCATAACAGATAAAAAACATAGTTTATTAAACCTTTTGCGAACTCCCTGACGTTGTCTATGCACCCCCAAATTAATTTTAATTTACCATGAACCCCCTTCAGCAGTTCCAAGGACCCCCAGTGATCCATAGGAACCACTTTGGGAAACATTGTTTTAGATCCATGTTAGTTTGAGATTTTAGTATTTTTGAGAATTATAATATAGGGCTTCAGAAAATAGACACCAATAATGAATAACTAGAGTTGTTAGATGTTATTTTGAATAATGTCATACAAGTTCAGGTATTGTACCTATATATATCAGGTACTGACTAATTCTGATAATGTATTTAGATTAATGTCTATATAATTATTTCAAGATTGCATAATTTGAATTTTAGCTAATTAATTTCAAATTATATGGGTAAAATTCCTACTACAAAAATCTTGAAAACTTCTGACAGAATAAATAATATGTATACATATAAAAATCCAGGGATATGGAGACAAAGTTGATAATAAAAAAGCAACTATGTTAGTTAGTTAGCCTACTTAGTTTAGACCCAAAAAAAATTTCTTATATTCCCTGAGTGTGCAGCTGGAGCATTTTTAAAAAAGTGTTGCCTGTTATGTTCCAATTTTATTTAAATTGGAAAAAATTTGAGTCTAATCAAATAGCCCGAATAGGATAGTTGTAAACTATCAAAAGTACTTGCAATTTTGAATAAAATGTTGATTTTAATGCTGCAAGACAGAGTATGGTGGATTGCTTATTCATATACTATATTCAAAATGTCTAACTTCAGACATAAGAATTCAACATTTTACAGTCTTTGGAGTGAACCTTGCATCCAGAATATTTTAATATATTTCTACTAGCCAACAATATTGTGGAAGAGCACAGACAATGGGTTATAATTTTGAGATTTTATGGGAAAGACATTTATAGTCCCCTGTGTTTATTGGTTTCTCCAAGTTTACTGATAGACAAGATTTTCAAAGAATTGAAAGTCAATTTAAAATAATTTTTCCCACAACTCTTGAGAACAGTAAAAAGAAAATTCAGTTTTACTAGCAAGATCAGCAGATGGGAAATCTATTTTGATATATCTTGCAGAAATGCATAGACTGGCCAAGCATTATGAGTTCAGAAACAGTTTAAAGGAATTGCTTTATAATCATTTTGTGTGTGGATTGCATGATGAAATGATATAGCACAGATTTTTCACTCATAAGAAACTATCTTATTGCAAGACAATAAGTTTTAGCATCAGAAGTTGCTATCCAGTATGCTAAAGTATGACCATATTCATTAAGCTCTGATATAGGGCTTATTAAGAAAAAAAAAAAAAGGTTGATTAGATCATATAAATAATAGTAACTCAAACAATGATCCTCCTTCAATTTTTATTTCTAAAGGAAGTGAATAATATTTTTCTATTAAAAAGCAACATTGCAATCCAGTTGGAGGAAAAATGTCTGTTATAGTAAATGTGTTGCTTGTCATTTTCAGATGAACTCTGGATCCTCCTATTTAATTATTTCTGAAAAACTTACCATAGAATACCTCACAAAAGAATATCAAGTTAGCAGTGTTGATGATTCTTGTACTTGCTGACACAGAGGGGCAATTGGCATTGCTTTGTTGTTGTGTTTTGTTTGTTTTTTGCATCTATTTTCTGTTAGATGCTTGCAATGTTCTTTATTATTATTATTTGATCCCTAAATTCTGTTAGGCATGCTCACATAGCTTGGATATTGTCACTTTGATCCCACTGTAAACTGAAGTCATTGACCCCTATTTTCTACATTTACATAGATCCTCATTGCAATTAATAGAAAATGGCAAAGTTTTATCAAAATTAACTCATCAAATTTTGAGATTGAATGCAATTTTGTAAGTGACATAGAAGAGGCTTTACTAATACTCTGCTTCAGATATCAAATACAATGGAACCCCGGTTAACGAACTTAATCCGTTCTGCCACTCTGTTCATTAACTGAATTGTTCGTTAACCGAAGCAATTTTTCCCATAGAAATTAATGCAAATGCAATTAATCCATTCTAGTCTCCGAAATTTTTGTCATTTTATTTGTAANAGTCATTTTTTTAGTTTTCTGTCGCTTTTCATTTGCCTTTTTGTGATTTGTGATTAATAAAAATAATAAAATTTTACTTACGAATTAAAATCAGAAGAAATTTAACAAAGTTATAAACCATTGCACCGCGAATGTCTAGTCTGGTCTAGTACACCGATAGTGCTACTTGTTCATTGGTGGTGCGTATAATTGAATTATGTCGTATACCGAACAAAAGTCGTATACCGAGCAAAATTTGTTTCATCCAAACAGGACGTATTCCGAATTGGACGTATTCTAAAGCAGACGTATACCGAGGTACCACTGTATTTAATAACTTAAATTGTTTATTATTTTTACTGAAGTTATGCCAGCTGCTGAGAAAACTCTTCCAATGATGACTATTAATTCTTATATTATTTAGGGATAAATTTGTATATACAGTTTTACCCAATTATAACGTCATCGAATGTAACAACAACCCTAATATAACGTCAAATTTTTATTGGTCCCACGATTTTACTATACTAGATAATGTTAAAAAAACCCACTTGTTACGACATAAAACCCTGTTTTAACGTCATATTTGAAGCACACTCAAATTTACAGAACTAGATTACAAATTTTATTTAACAAAGAAAATACTACGTGTTCAGTCCTATGGTCAGAGTTCACTTCCTAGAACAACTATGGGTGGTACTGTCACCACCTGACTTCGGTGGGGTGAGGTTCGCCACCCCCTTTAAACGACAGAGAAAATTACTATAAAGCTGATTCTAATAACGACTTAGAGATAAATGTTGCAAAAAACCGTATGACAGTGGGTTAGTCTGCATAGCTCTCATACTCGTGTTATAGTTTAGCATCAAATCAGGTAAAATGGCTAGCTTAAAAAGGAAAGCGTTAATGTTAGATGCAAAGTAGAAATAATTAAAGCAGTTGAAAGTGGATGAAAAAAGGCAGATGTATGCAGAGACTTTGGTTTAGCAAATTCTACAGTGCGCACAATAATAAAAAACAGAGAGAAAATTTTGAAAAGTTTTCAAGATGGCAAGGGACAAGTGAAAAGGGTCTCGTAAAACTTCATCGGAAATAATGAACAAAATCTACAGCTTAGAAAATGACATGACATTGATAAATAATTTTTAGGTGAAAAATGCCTACAATCTAAAATAACTGACTTTTTTTAAGTGAATATTTTTATTGTTTCTTTTTAATTGGTATACATTAATTTAACCTAAAAGTGAAAGATATTAGACTTCATTCAGATTGATAGATAAGCAAGAAATGAGAAAATTATCATCCAGACGTTATTAATGCCTGGATGATAATTTTCTCGTCTTTTGCTTAATTTAACTTTTTGTTGCCTTTTGATTGGACATTATTCTCAAAACCGAAAGTGCTGCCATTATTGAAACTTGAGACAAATAAAAATTTTTTATAAAAGGTAATTTTTGAAATTTTTAATTACATCATTGTAAATTTAGACATAATAATGTAAATAAAGTTGATTTAAATATTTAGTTTGCACTTTTAAACCTACGATATTAAATTAGATGACTTTTATAATAGATTCTTAAACACACTTGATACTTTTATGGGACTGAAATTATGACCCCGCAGATAACGACACTCTGTTATAACGTCAAAAAATGGATGACGTTATAAGCGGGTTAAATTGTATATATTTAAAAAAATATTTTTCCTATATGAACTATGCACTTTTGTTACATATTACATTATTCTATAAATTATTACAACATACCTATTCTCCTATATCAAATGTTCCTTCAATTTCAATTTCTATTAAAATTGTTTCATTAATAAATTTTATTATTTCTCTTAGGAAAAACTCAATTCTGGAAGAAAAGGCTCTTATATGTTACAGTTTTATGGAAAACCAAGCAAATATCCAATACTATTTAATAAAACATCAGGAGAACATTGGCTTGCTTTAAAACATCAAGGTTATCATATCAGTACTGTATATATTGAAATAAATGCTGACTCTATTATTGTGCTACGGACTGGGTATGTATATTGAAATGCAATAATTTTACTTTCACAGCTGTTACACATACATAACAAGGAAAAGTATTGGAATCTTGTCAAATTTGACATTCTGAGGTTTTTGCAAATCTCCATGTTTTGAGACCACCTGAATCCAAAGAACAGTCAAGAAAAGACAATTTCGTAGATATATGATACAAATAAATTTATTTACTTGTGAATTTTTAACAGTTATAGTGTCTGAGTATTTTAACTCTAAGAAGAAATTTTAATATTTTTTACAATTTTTCTTCTAAACCAAATTCTACATAAAAAATAACCAGCTTCATTTGAAAATTTTAAACTACTAATATAATTGTTATTGAATTTGTGGAATTGAGACATGATTCATGTTACACATTAACTGATATTCTGTATGAACCAAACTTGTTAGCATTTAAATGCCTATCCTCATCGATGTGATTTCAAATCTACTTTGCATTAACATGGACTTTGCTTAAACTGATAATGTAATGATCAGGTTTGACTGTATATATCTTCTAAAAGCTTCTATTAATTTTACATAGAAACTTATTTCAACAAATTTTTTCATTAAAAATTTTTTGTTAAACTAAATTCTTATACTTAATATATCTTGGAAATTTTATCAAATGCACTAATGGAAAACTATTTAGCATCACTATATTATGATATAATATCATTTGGTTTTTCAAAGCAATCAATTAATTTCTCAATTTTCCTGATTAATTTTTAACATTTATAATTTTTTTCTTAGGAAACATGCACAGTTAACATCAATTTTTACAATTACTTCCAATACCAACTCAGAAGTAACAGTTCAGTTAACTAATACTGGCTTAGTCCCTTCACGTTTTGCAGTAAAGATAGTTAATNAATGCGATAGCGCATTGTCATTTTCTATTGCCACTATGACTTTTTTCTTTCTTTGATGCCATATTGATTAAATATATAAATCACAAAACTGAAAAAAGAAGTATAGCACAAACACTCAGAAAAGCAATGCTTAACTCGCGCATGCCTAACACCAACTAAAATTTGACACAAAATACCGTTACATTCGTTATCCGAGACAAAATTTTTGCAAAATAAAAGTTTGTTAACCGATTTGGTCATTAACCAGGATGTTCATTAACCAGGGTTCCACTGTATGTATTCAATATATTAACTTTTATCAGACTTTTTACATATAAAAACTATTAAATTTTTTCATGTACAGAAATGCTTACAAAATATTATATGGATATATAATTTTAAAATATTAAACTTATTAAAATGAAAGTAACAAATGTTTTCAAATTTTTTATAGTGCTCAGGAAATTATGCAGATTTAACATGCCATGCTATGGATATTTCAGCATTTCATCTTGCTGGATTTAGAGGATCTATTCCATTAGAAGCTAAAACAAAAAGAGTTAAACTTTGGAAATCATCAATACTTTTAGCTGCATTAGTTTGCATGTTTATTTTTGGTAGTTATAATCAAAATATAATTTAATAACTATAATTTAAGCATTTTAGTTTATATAAAATGTTCTAATAGTTGATAAAATTAAATAAAATAACCTGATATTATAAAAGTGATGATTTTGTTAGTCATAAAATATGACAAGATTATTAAATTTTAAATATGTAATTTAGTAAGTAGTTCCTCCAATGAATGCTAATAGCATACTCGGCAGCAATTATCTTCCATTGATTTCGATCATGGGCGAGAAGTTCAGCTTCCACGTCATATTGAGCATCTTCAGATTTCAGAGAAAAGTTCTATGCCAAGTATTCCTAGGGTGTCCTCATGTAATTTGACACCAGGAGGAACCCATTTTATGGCTGTCTTAGGGATCCTACTGTTCTCCATACAAAAAAATATGGCTGGCTAATCAAACTCTTGGGCAACAATATTGTGAAGTTTGCACATCCCACTCCTTTGAAGAACCTCTTCATTGGTTATATGATCTAAATATCGGATCTTTAAGATTCATCATAAACATCTCTGTTGGAAGGCATCAAGCCTTCTATTGATGTTTTCTGATGTCTTCCAGGACTCACTAGCGTAAACAGTTATTGGAATCATGATGGAGGTGAACAGGCAGAATTTAGTTCTTAATGGGATGAATGGATAAACAAGATCTGGTCCTCACGACCAGATCTTGTTTATCCACCGGAAAATTGTTGCCGCCTTTCTGATGTGATACTTCACGTCCACTTCTGTGTTGCTGTTTTGGGAAATAACACTACCCAAATAGGTAAAAACTCTCCACTTCCTCCAATTGTTGTACTCCAACAATTATTCCCTGCATTTATGTGGCGTTACTTTCCTGCATAATTTTCGACTTCATGGTGTTTATCCTGAGGTCAATTTTGTGTGCCTCCTGACCCAATGTGGTTGTGGTATGTTGTAGCATTGTTCCAATTTCCTCTAATAGGGCAATATTGTCAGCAAAAACCAAATCTCCAAGATAATCCAGGTCAGATCAGTAGATGCCAGCCCCAATACTTGCACCAGTCTCTTCTGCCCATCACATGACGTAATCAAGGGAAAAGGGGACAGGACACAATCCTGCTCCTGTCATAATTTTAAAGAAGTCCATATGACCACCTTCAGTCTTGATGCAACAACTTGAATGCAGGTATAAGGCCTTGAAAATGGTGGCAATGTTTGTCAGTACACCATATAATCACAGGATCCGCCAGAGGGACTCGCAGTGAACACTATCAAAAGCCTTCTTGAAATTAATAAAATTGATGACCAATGGATGTCTATACTCAATGCATTGTTTGATGATATTTTGAAGAGAGAAGATCTGCATGCTGCACGATCTTCCACAGCAAAATGCAGCTTGCTTCTCCTGCAAGCACTGATTGAGTGCAATCCACAGGCATTGAAGGAGGACCATACAAAATGCTTTTCCAGACACAGAAAGAAGAATGATACCTCACCAGTTGGTACATTTGGAGATATCTCTCCTCTTAGGAATTCTGACTATAGCACTCCTTCTCCAATACTCTGGGACTTCTCCACACTGCCAGCACATGTTATACAATAACATTAACTTCTCCAACATGGGTTACCCTCCATGCTTCAAAATCTCAGCCATAATTTCATCCAGACTGGCCGCCTTATTATTCTTTAGACTTTTAATTGCAAGCTCCACTTCTTAAAGGGTAATATCGCCAGTGTCCATCTGAAGCTCATTCTGTGTATCCTCAATATCAAAATCGTATGTGGTGTTTGGTTCCGCTTGATTAAACATTTTCCGAAAGTGTTCCATTCATCTCTTGTTCTGTTCGTCTTGAGCAATCAAAAGCTTCCCATTTTTGTCTTTTATTGGAATACTGGAATTACTCCTTGTCTCAGTCAATTCGTTGACTATGTGATACAGGGTCTTGAAGTCATTCTGGTCGGAAGCCTCCTGTGCTTCAGCACCCTTTCATTCTAACCATTCCTTCCTGTCTTTCTGACAATTTTTCTTTACACATCTATCCAACTTGGTGAATCTTTGGTTTCCTTCCTCCATCTCAGCCATTGTTTTAGCCTGGTCCCTTTTTAAGTTTTGCGGTTTTCCTCTCATTAATCAAAGCCCATGTGTGATCTTGGATTCACTTATCTTTTTGTCTTCCTTGACATCTTCCAATGATGTTTTGAGTGCACTCCATGGTAATATCTCTGAGGTTCCCCCAAAGATCTTCTATATCTGTCATCTCTCCAAGAAGGACAAAGCGACTGTGCAACTCCAGAGTAAATGTTTTGGCGATGGTTGGATCATTTAATTTTTCTATCGCAAATGATCTTTTAGCATGAATTGCCTTTGATTATGAAGTTTCAGCTTAATATCCACCCTAATTAGGAAATGGTCAGATCCAATATCTGCACTTCTATAAACCCTTACATCACACAGTGATAAATTTCACTTTTTACTAATACAAATAAAATCTATCTCATTAAAAGTGCACCCATCTGGTGACCACCAGGTCTTTTTATGGATAACCCAATGTTGGAAATACATGTTCCNAAAAATTTTTTCGATTAAAAGGATGTTATACATAGATATTGAATAAACAGCAACCATACTATATTAATGTCATTTAGTTTAAAACATTTTGCTGTGATGTAAAATTTTTGGTTCTTCCACAATAGTTGCTATCCTGAAATACAAGCTTCTGATATATGTGTGTTTATTATTATGATACATATTGATTTTATCCAGTTTATTTTTTAAAAATGCTATATTTGAACATGTATCGAATATTTAAATTAGATTCTTTCTTAATCTGGTTAAAGTATATAAGTTAGAATGCAAGATATATTTATTAAAACTAACAATTCAATTTTTTTTGTAAAATGTTTATATTACTAGTTCCTTAAAACTATAGGTCAACAATTTTTTCAAACTGCAGCCCAATAATTATAAATTCCCACTGTTGCCTGTCTGTCTTTCCTTAATCTCAAAAATGTCGTTAGGTCAATGAAAGACAAGACCAGATGTGGAAAGAATAGGTGCAAGGAGCCCCAATTAACTATATATGAACTTCCAATGCAAACCGGAAGTCGTGTTATTTCGATTCAAATATTTTCCCCCGAAAGGTGTTAATGACCAACACGAGTCTGTTGTTAAAGGAAAAGTACAATGTACTGGGGCAAGCCACTACTAATTTGGGGTGGAGAGTACATATTTAAAATATGATTGAATTTAAAATTGCAGCCTGGCATTGTGACAATGTCACAACAAATAATTGCTTGTTAATTTGAAAATAACTTTTTCAATATGTGCTTGATTTTAAGAAATTCTTTAGGTTTGTATGTAGATATTGTATTATGCATAATGAATTCTTTATTTCAGATCACATAGATTAGCTTTTAAGACAAAAATTCAACTATATTACATATTCTTTCCTTTTAGAAAGAACAATCAACATCTGATAAGTAATCCAAGAAGAAAATAGTAAGTTTGAAATAAATATATAATATTTTGGGTATTTTCTATTTGATATACATTAGCTTTCATATTTTAGATATCTGTTGACACAAACGGAAAAATTTCATGTTATTATATACTATTTAGAAAGGTAGACTTTAATAATCTCCAGGATGTTATATTTGTTATAATTAGAATATTTATAAATTATAATTTATTTTTGATATTTTAAAGTTAAATGATTAGAAACTAGATGAAGGTTTGAGAAAAAAACAATGTTTTACAGGCAAAAAACTGAATAATATATCGATTAAAGATTAACAGAAGTATCTTGAAAAATAAATCTGATAATTATTAAAATGCAAGCATAATATTGCATATAGGAATTACTTAATCTCAGTTACAATCATGGCCTGAAGCAAAATAAAAATTCTTCAATTAGGTAATTTTAGGTAATAATATTACTAGACTGATCATCTGCAAGTAAATAGTACTGCAGATTTTTATTTTTCTGATACTCCTGTGCATGAAAATAAAAAATTTAGTTTATTTCAGTTTTCATATTTACAGCATGTAAATTTTTCAAATGAATTTATTTTCTTTCAAAAACTTTTAATTTATATTTCCTCTTCACNGGAAATCATCAATACTTTTAGCTGCATTAGTTTGCATGTTTATTTTTGGTAGTTATAATCAAAATATAATTTAATAACTATAATTTAAGCATTTTAGTTTATATAAAATGTTCTAATAGTTGATAAAATTAAATAAAATAACCTGATATTATAAAAGTGATGATTTTGTTAGTCATAAAATATGACAAGATTATTAAATTTTAAATATGTAATTTAGTAAGTAGTTCCTCCAATGAATGCTAAGTAGCATACTCGGCAGCAATTATCTTCCATTGATTTCGATCATGGGCGAGAAGTTCAGCTTCCACGTCATATTGAGCATCTTCAGATTTCAGAGAAAAGTTCTATGCCAAGTATTCCTAGGGTGTCCTCATGTAATTTGACACCAGGAGGAACCCATTTTATGGCTGTCTTAGGGATCCTACTGTTCTCCATACAAAAAAATATGGCTGGCTAATCAAACTCTTGGGCAACAATATTGTGAAGTTTGCACATCCCACTCCTTTGAAGAACCTCTTCATTGGTTATATGATCTAAATATCGGATCTTTAAGATTCATCATAAACATCTCTGTTGGAAGGCATCAAGCCTTCTATTGATGTTTTCTGATGTCTTCCAGGACTCACTAGCGTAAACAGTTATTGGAATCATGATGGAGGTGAACAGGCAGAATTTAGTTCTTAATGGGATGAATGGATAAACAAGATCTGGTCCTCACGACCAGATCTTGTTTATCCACCGGAAAATTGTTGCCGCCTTTCCGATGTGATACTTCACGTCCACTTCTGTGTTGCTGTTTTGGGAAATAACACTACCCAAATAGGTAAAAACTCTCCACTTCCTCCAATTGTTGTACTCCAACAATTATTCCCTGCATTTATGTGGCGTTACTTTCCTGCATAATTTTCGACTTCATGGTGTTTATCCTGAGGTCAATTTTGTGTGCCTCCTGACCCAATGTGGTTGTGGTATGTTGTAGCATTGTTCCAATTTCCTCTAATAGGGCAATATTGTCAGCAAAAACCAAATCTCCAAGATAATCCAGGTCAGATCAGTAGATGCCAGCCCCAATACTTGCACCAGTCTCTTCTGCCCATCACATGACGTAATCAAGGGAAAAGGGGACAGGACACAATCCTGCTCCTGTCATAATTTTAAAGAAGTCCATATGACCACCTTCAGTCTTGATGCAACAACTTGAATGCAGGTATAAGGCCTTGAAAATGGTGGCAATGTTTGTCAGTACACCATATAATCACAGGATCCGCCAGAGGGACTCGCAGTGAACACTATCAAAAGCCTTCTTGAAATTAATAAAATTGATGACCAATGGATGTCTATACTCAATGCATTGTTTGATGATATTTTGAAGAGAGAAGATCTGCATGCTGCACGATCTTCCACAGCAAAATGCAGCTTGCTTCTCCTGCAAGCACTGATTGAGTGCAATCCACAGGCATTGAAGGAGGACCATACAAAATGCTTTTCCAGACACAGAAAGAAGAATGATACCTCACCAGTTGGTACATTTGGAGATATCTCTCCTCTTAGGAATTCTGACTATAGCACTCCTTCTCCAATACTCTGGGACTTCTCCACACTGCCAGCACATGTTATACAATAACATTAACTTCTCCAACATGGGTTACCCTCCATGCTTCAAAATCTCAGCCATAATTTCATCCAGACTGGCCGCCTTATTATTCTTTAGACTTTTAATTGCAAGCTCCACTTCTTAAAGGGTAATATCGCCAGTGTCCATCTGAAGCTCATTCTGTGTATCCTCAATATCAAAATCGTATGTGGTGTTTGGTTCCGCTTGATTAAACATTTTCCGAAAGTGTTCCATTCATCTCTTGTTCTGTTCGTCTTGAGCAATCAAAAGCTTCCCATTTTTGTCTTTTATTGGAATACTGGAATTACTCCTTGTCTCAGTCAATTCGTTGACTATGTGATACAGGGTCTTGAAGTCATTCTGGTCGGAAGCCTCCTGTGCTTCAGCACCCTTTCATTCTAACCATTCCTTCCTGTCTTTCTGACAATTTTTCTTTACACATCTATCCAACTTGGTGAATCTTTGGTTTCCTTCCTCCATCTCAGCCATTGTTTTAGCCTGGTCCCTTTTTAAGTTTTGCGGTTTTCCTCTCATTAATCAAAGCCCATGTGTGATCTTGGATTCACTTATCTTTTTGTCTTCCTTGACATCTTCCAATGATGTTTTGAGTGCACTCCATGGTAATATCTCTGAGGTTCCCCCAAAGATCTTCTATATCTGTCATCTCTCCAAGAAGGACAAAGCGACTGTGCAACTCCAGAGTAAATGTTTTGGCGATGGTTGGATCATTTAATTTTTCTATCGCAAATGATCTTTTAGCATGAATTGCCTTTGATTATGAAGTTTCAGCTTAATATCCACCCTAATTAGGAAATGGTCAGATCCAATATCTGCACTTCTATAAACCCTTACATCACACAGTGATAAATTTCACTTTTTACTAATACAAATAAAATCTATCTCATTAAAAGTGCACCCATCTGGTGACCACCAGGTCTTTTTATGGATAACCCAATGTTGGAAATACATGTTCCCAACACACAGCCCATTGTGTTCACAAAACAATGTTAGCCTTTCTCCATTGTTGCTCATATGAGCAGAGGATGCATGAACACCCACCAATCACATTCTCGAGTCCTCGATGACCACTGCTCAGTTGGGCATTGAAATCCCCAATCAGGACCATTAGGTCATGATTTGGGATACCATCAAAGACATCTTGGAGCTGCTCATAAAATTCATCTTTTATTGTATCCTCTGTATTGTTGGTTGATGCATAAACCTGCACAGTCGCATTGGTGTGTCTGTGGGTGAAGCAAGCTGTAAAAATCCAATTGCTGAAAGGAATACTTTCTTTGCTTGTTTATTCAGAATAACACCTACTCCAAGCTCGTGCCACTCTTCATGGCCCATGTACAATATGGTCTTGCTGTTACTACTGACTTGGCCGTTTGTCATCCATCTAATCTCACTGACACCAAGGATGTCCAACCGATTTTCACCAAATGTCCATAATAGCTGAGTGAGTCTTCCACTCTGATATAGCATATGCACATTCCAGTTTTCATAATATTTTTGACATCAGACACCGTTGCCGGTTTCCTCCAATGCCATTATATTACCTGGAGCTGAACTGCCCCTCATGCAATCAAAATTTCTGTTTATTCTTGCTGTTTCTATAGCACTGGTAGCTTTTACAGGGACGGGTTGACAATCCAACGCCCAAATTTTACATATACTCCAGTAAAATTTAATGAAAAATCCTCAACAATTTTCTGAACTTGTTCGAATTTTTGAATTTATTTGAAATAATTTATAAGTGCAAAGATAGATTTATAATTGATATTAGAGGATGGAATCATTTCATGAAAATGATTAACTCCTGATATATTCAAAATGAGCTATTTAATGAGCCGAAACATCAAAACTAATGAATTTTTCTCTAAAAAAATTGATACAGTGTTATTTTATGAAATGGTGTACTGTATATAGAAATGATGAAAAGTTAAATTATAGAATAAAGGTTGACAGAATGACATTAGCAATCCTAAATTATTATATTTGATAGTTCTAAAGTTTTAAACCCTAAACATTTCCACTGATACTAAAACATGTAATATTATACAGTAATTAATATTAATATTAAAATTAAACCATACTCAGATCTAAAAACTCTCTTTCAAAGAAAAATTCTTTCAATTTGGAGTGAATATGGTGGAATCTTGATTATTTAAACTCTGTGGGACTGGGGGCCTTTCAGATAATCCAGAAAGTCGTTTATTTTAATTTTGGTACATCAAACATTGTGAATTTAAAGTTTTGTGAACAATGAATACTGTAATGCAGTTACTGTATTTGAAGGTAAATTAATTTACTTAAAAACTAATGTAGTATTATATATACAACCTAGTTTTGTATCACTATAGTTGAAATGATTACGTAATGATTTCTAGTTACTTGGAGAATTTTGGTGTTAGTATAGTTAGCATATTACATACCCTATGGGTATATACAATACAATACATTCTGGTATTTTTTTAAACTATCTGAAACTTCAGATTGTCCAAAATAATCAAGCTACCATATATATTTAATTGATTTTACTATTTCATTTGACATATAAAGTCTTGTTGTATGTAAGAATCAGCATATATTCTTTTGACTTTTAACCCTTGGATGCATAACTTGAGTCAAATTGACTAGGTGACAATTTTCCTTGTATATGTATTTTATTTTTTAGTTGAGGTTTTTGTGCTTTTGTACATTGCTCACAAATGTACTCAATAACAAAAATAAACAATATCAGAAAAAAATATATAATAAACTTAAAAATTATCACTGGTTTTGTAAAATACCTTTCAGTACATGACATGGATTATTTTGGTTACTCAGAAATACATATTTCTAGTATACTTTTTCTTTTGTTTTCACTTTACTTATGGTTTTGATTTTTTAGGGTCCAAAGTTTCAGTTTCAGTTTATAAAACTTGCATACACAGAAAAATTTATCTTCATCAACTCAGCATCAGAACCTAATACTTTTATTTTGTCTTCATAATTTTTTCTCCCAGGTAGAATGTAGAAAATTGCTTTTAATTTTTATACCATTACTTTTGCTTCACAATAAATATAATAATAAAAATAAAACAAGCAGATCCAGTAATTCCCATGCTGCAAGTGGCTAGCCTATCAAGAGCAACCACATCTTTATGGATGTGGTTTCACACGTGACTGACTTATTTATGTATGAAAACTTGCTAATGCATCTATGATAAAAATCTTGGTTTCAGTGTTGTATGTAAATTAATTTCTTCAATTTTGAAAAATGGTCAAAACACCACATATGATAATTTCTTTTCAAGCGTTGCCATTACTAAACATTTAAAGGAATAGAAGCATATGATTATTGAATCAGTGAGGCAAAACAAACCAGATACTCCTCCATGTTTCAAGCCATTAAAGAACATATCAATTTATTTCTCAGTGCATGGCTTCAGTAATTATGTATGATGCTAGTTAGATGCAGGATTGACAAAGAAAATCAGCTCAGTTAAGAAACTGTTTGGAGTAAGAGTAGTAACAAACTTCCAATCTGCACCTGTACGGTCAAAGGACACATCAAAAAAGAAAAAGATGCACCATCTGCCTCAGCATAAAAAGGCTGAAAATGTTCAATTGTATGCTTGAAATGCAATTGTTTTGTTTATACAGAAGGGTTATGTAATTGTATGCAAAAAATGTGCAACATAAAATTAGAATTTACCAAAACTTTACTACTACTATGTGGATCAAAATTATCACAATTATGCATTAATTAATAGTCAAAATTGCTCTTATGCATCCAAGGGTTAATTAATTTATTATTATATAAATGGAAGGAAATTCTCTGATAAAATAATAAAATGAAATACTAAATATTATTATATTACATATTTTTTGTGATATATTTTAATATATCACACAAAATAGCTTTACTTACACTAAAATTTATAATAATTATAATTATACTATAAATGTTTATTAATAGTTATTGTATTATTCAATAGGTGGTATTAAGGCTCTTTTGGGCCTCTGTTATCATAAATCATTTGAAGAATTTGGACTTTCTCCAATATTGTTTAGAAGGAAACATCTAGCTCATTACTATGAACCCGAACTTAGGAAAGAGCCTGTTATATATGACGAAAAAGGATATCCAATTAATCCAAAAACGTAAGGGTTTAAATTATATTTTCTAAAATAATCTGTTTATGTAACTGAAATTGTCTGTTCAACTCTTTCCTGCTATCTATCTGTTCACTCTTGGTTTCGGGCTTTCCAATAATTTGTATATCTCACCATTACAATATTCTCTACCTTTCTATCCATTTCCACAAGATAAGTATCAAGACTTGATTGATCTACTTTCTTCTGTTATTTACTTTACCAATCCAACATAATTTTGATATAATGTATCAATTTCTGCTATTGCCAAGTGAGACCAAATATATTTTATTTTACTGTAATTTCTCTTCTGATTCCTCAGGCTTGGAAGACTATACAGTTCCTTGTTAGTATCATATTCTTACCTATTATCCTTATATCCATCTGATAACCTTATAATGATGCTTTACCTCCAACATATTTTAACTCTCTCCAACCTCTTCCAATTGGATAAACAGATCTCCAGACCAAAGCAAAATATGCTACAAATTACACACAGGAGTCTTTGGATAATCTAGGCAGGGTCATTAGATAAACTGTTACTGCACTCCCTAGCTTTAAGTGGTTAGGAAGATCTGATTTCAATAGAAGGCATTGTTGTTCCAATCTTCTTGGTTCTCATGTGCATCATTTGTTTGTGTGCTTCTTCTACAATAGAATATTCAAATTGCTTGAAGAAAACTTGGAATTTTACTTTGTTAAGAAATTTTTCTATAATTGGCAAAAGTAAGTCGAAAATGTTTAAATTGTATTAGATTACGACTTGTTAAGATTGAAAGTGTATAAGTTTTATTTCATATTTTATTTTAGGTTAACAAAGTTTAGTAGTAACTAAATCCCACTTATATGACACACTACATAACTTTAGTACTTCTATTTTATTAGTTACCATATGTTCATATTAGTACAGACAGTCCATACTTTAAAGGCTCTGTCAGTGTCCATACCGTACTTAGAAAAATTAAACAAAATGTCCATACTTTTCAACTAATCGCACAGTTAATAGTTAAATCATAACCACTTAGATTTTAATCTGACAAAAGGTGTTAAAGTTTTTATGATTATTATTGTATATATTGGCTAGGTAGCAACATTGTATAAGTGAATGTAATGGCTCTGTTGCTTAGAGAGCATGAGCACATTCAATATAGTTTTCTTTTATTTAAAATGCTGTGCCCCAAAGGAAAGTGTAAATTGAAACTTTATATTATATACCTACATTTACTACATTGAAAAATATGAATGAATTCCTGTTATTTTTCCTTGCTGTCTGAATATTTTTAATACTAATCTGTTTGTATTTTGCCTTCATCTGTTATGGTAACTCTAACTTTACATCAATGACCCATCACATTCCAAATTGCAACTTGGGATATAAATCATCAGAAAACAAAAAAATATTTCTGACAAAGTTCAAAATTGCTTTCAGAATAGTTTCTCATGCTTTGCAACAACTGTTATATCTGGAGGCAGTTTTTTCTAAGAGTAATCTCATCCAGGGGCTTATTTGTCTACAACTGGAAACTTAATTTTCTGCTTTATCTAGGTTAGTTATATTCTTCATGCCCAAAGCTCTTTCATTTACACATTGACAATTTACCAGCTTATCATTTTATAATAAATAAACATAGAAAATCACTCCATTCTGAAGAACTTTTTCCATTTAGACAGATTTTACTGTATTTAGTGAGAGTAAATACTGCGCAGTGACCAGTCTATCTAATGATTGATTCATTAATGACTTAAGCTTCATTCCAATAAATAGTAGTCTCCAAATAGTTTCACACGTTGACTGTGTTGCTCAAAATATATTTGATCTTGAAGAAATTTCTCAAAAGAATCTTTCATTGCTAAATGATATTTTTCACACATTTTGAAATGAATGGAATTTTATGTCTTAACATAAAATACATTAAAATGGTATTTTATTTTTGCATTTTCTTATTAAATTCAACTATTATATGAGATTATTAAATAACAGGAAAGAAAAAGCAAGAACTCTTCCTAATTGGACAGTATGCTTCTTAAATGTTATTTTTTTCCTTGTTTCACCTATATTATTGGTTATGGCTTTAATGCAGTTATGCCAGAAAAGAAAATATTTACCATTATCAGTAAGTAAAATTAAATTTAATATTATAATTAATTTTTAAAATTATGACTATTTAGAACATATTGTATTTTACTTTTCAAGTATTTAATTACTTTGAATATGTGAATACGTAATATACAGTTATTTATCTTATTACAGTAAAAGCTTGACATTATGAACCCCAATTTAAGACCGCGCATTATTACAGATGGCTGGTGTCGATCTGGCTAAAAGTATAGGAAATTATATAAAACCACATTTGCATAATGGACTCCCGCTACTATGTACTATTTTTCAGGCCCCTCAGACCACTGTTCTTGTTATTACAGACTTTTCAGTCACTGTTTTATTTCATCACAATCATAATTTTATTTATTTTGTCATAGTTGTCATTTTATTTACTTTTTTGCAAAAAATAAATACAAAAATAATATAAAATTCATTTTTTAACACTTTTTGGCAAAGATTTTTGCATTGCATCTAGTTGCTTTCCCAGCTCTGTTATATAAAACAGGTTTGAAAGTATGGCAATCGGTCAAAAAATGACCCCTCAAGATTTTTACATTTTGAACTTAGGGGACCTTGAAATGTCAAGAATGGAAACAAATTTTGGGGTTTTTCTGTATATATGGATGCTAGTGTGGGGGGCACAATTTTGTTCACCTTGTTTGAAGCTTAATAACTCCTGTGCTTTGTTGCAAATTTCTGAAATTTTGCAGGGAGGTTTGTGTATTAGGGGGATTGATGCTATTAAACTTTGATAGTTAAAGGTCAACAGGATGGATTGATAAAGGGGTCATGTGTCATATCTGAGTAGAGTTGGACTTAAATGCTAATAATGAGTAAAATTGTCATTAAAATTTTCTATAAACCACCCGTCTCTATCCTCAAAATTAAGCTTTTTGCCATTTTATAATAATTAAAAATATAAAAAGTTTTTAATAAAATATCATAACATGGAACCGCATGTTATGATACTGTATTTTATTAAAAATATCCCGATGGAACCGCACACGCAGTTTTAAATGTTGCCAGGACAATTAAGTGATATGTTGCTGGATTTTTTTGTTTCATTTTCTGATCAACTAGTTTTGTTCAGTTTTGGTTTTGTTTTCTCTATGAGCAACAAGTCTTGGATTTGTTATATAAAGCCATGGATTATTATTAAAATTTAATAAAAATCTGGCTTGTATACAAATTTTATCTACTACTCAATTGACATTTATCCACAATATTCATATACCAGCAATGGATAACTTGATATTACTACATACAGTATTACCTTGAATATAAGGAGATTCCCTTATATTTGAGGTAACATATCTGCTGAAACCAGGTAAAAATACATTGATTTGGTATCCAGACCTGGAGAAAACATTCGTGAACTGTAGATGTTTTCTCTGGTCTGTTATCTAGATCCATCCTAATATGATTCTACTGCATAATAATGGAACTTTTTAATATCACAGATGAGTCTATAATAATGAGTAATCATGATAAAATGGACTTTTATTATAACAGACCAATTTCTTTACTCCCTTGGTGGTCCATTATATCAAGCTTTTTTACTGTAATAAATAAGTTTGTTGAATACATCTATTATTAAATTACAGAGTACTAAGATTAAAATTATACTTGTCTTCTCACTGAAATTAATGGCATGCAAACACAACATTTATGAAAAATGGGTAGTTATTGATACCTTTGCACTTGGATTACGCATTCCAAGGTAATGAATATGGAGCATATAATAATGAATTCTCTTTCTTGATACTCAATTATTAAGTAGTTACTACTTGAATTAAGTACGGTGTTTGGAATATCTTCTCAATAAAATTTTATCAGATTCGTACTAGCTTTGAGGGTTTTATTTTTTATTTTGTAAATTTTTACTAAAATTACTTTGTTTCCAGTCAAGTTAATCAGGTTTTTTTAATATAAATTAGTGTAACTTTATATTAGGCAGAGTTCTGAGATTTTTGAGATCAGTTTTACGCTCATTGTAATTGGGAGTGTTTCCCTTCATCATTTGGTCACCACTTCCTTGTGATGCATCATTTAGATCATTGATGACATATCTACAGTACGATACTTAGATTAGAAGTCAAAATATTATTTGAAAGCATGTTTCTACTAGGTTTTCTGAAACACATCGGTACTTATTCAACACAAAGTGTGTACAGTACAAGTGTTCACAATTACAGCTGTTCCTAGGAAACACTAAATGGTCGATTTATTTTTTACTCTACTTTCTATATATGTAATAAATGAATGCAAGAAAATCTTACATAAGTTTGTTTTCTATTTGCATGCATTTTGTACATATTAAATAAGTGTGTATAAACATGTGTCCTTTTTTATAAAATTTACTCTTGGGTCTTATAATTCAGAAAGGATATCTTCAATATATGAAATTCTATCCTCAAAATTGTTACATTGTAACTGTCAAGACTGGTTTACACATTATGACTATCACTAATATTTTATTGCACCCAAAAAATGACAAGACTTGTTGGCAATTCAGATGTTTACACAATCCNATATACATTGGAATATTATATGCATCTCGACTTAGAATTATTAGTAATCGAGGCTAAAATTTTTAATGGATAATTCACTGTTTGTAGTCTATTATATAATAACCCACATATAAAGCCACCATGCCAAATTTTGTTACTTAATCTCTACTTCATCCTGAGATATTAAGCAAAATAGAGGTCAATACACACACATCCATGGAATTTTTGTTTCGGCTTTTTTGAATTGAGGAGGTCCCAAAACTTTGAGATTTGCAAAAACCTCGGAAGGTCAAATTTGACACGATTCCCATATTTTACGGTGTTCTGTATACATAACAGCCACAAAAGTAAAAATAGAATCCAAGATACAAAATAAACATCAAAAAATATAATTGTATAATTATACATTTCCAGATATAATACGACGTATGGTAAATTAAAAAAGCTTGATATGTTTTGTAAATTATTTAGACTTTATTGTAAATATGATTATAATGCACTTAAAATATAAACATTTTTATAATCTATCACAATATGGACCTATTTTTAGATCTAAAAGTGTTGTTTGTAGAGAGGAATTTTAAATAATATCTTCTAAAGTAAAATAANCTGCAAGTAAATAGTACTGCAGATTTTTATTTTTCTGATACTCCTGTGCATGAAAATAAAAAATTTAGTTTATTTCAGTTTTCATATTTACAGCATGTAAATTTTTCAAATGAATTTATTTTCTTTCAAAAACTTTTAATTTATATTTCCTCTTCACTCTGAAAAATAAAATAAATAGCATTAAATATTTAATGGATTACAAGGTAAAAGCATTTATTCAATAATTATGATAATGAGCAATTTAACTTTTGAACAGAATTTTCATAAATACTCACTTCTGTCTTATTCTTGGTTCAATAATATTTCTTCTTTGAAAACTTTTATATCTATCTTCCAAAATATTTCCAACTACCTGTGTATTAATAAAAATAATCATTAAGTAATTGATCCTCAGTAAACAAAATAGCCAAGTTAATCATAAATGACAAGTTTTTTTAAATTAAGTCACAATCCAATATTAGGAAAATAATGCTTCTGTAATATTGAAGACATCAGTCGGACACAAAGTGTTTAGCCAGCAGGGGAGAGGGTTCAGAGGGATCCTACCTATCTCTACTGTCTATGTTTGATGTTGGCATGCAGTCTTTAGTCCACCAAAGGGTCTAAAAGAAAACATGAGTGTAGATGTTAGTAGGAAGACTTATCTACTTAAGTAGTGTTCAGTTTTATATTAGTATTAACAGCTAGACAGACTTTGAGGTCTTGCTTTTCTCACTATTTTTTTTATTTTTAAACGTTTAATTAGTGAGTAAGTTAACTAACTGTCCCTAATCTAACTTAGATTGAAAAAGAAGACAGAAAATGAGAATTAAAATACAAAGTTGAAAGTCAACTATATACCAACAGTTCAAACAAAGCAAGGAAAAGCTAACTGCCATCCGTGCCTCCAGAATGAGTGCTCTCAAGAGCCCCACTAAGGGACACGAATGCGAGAGTAGATTGTACCCTTCAAGAACAGCACCTCTCATTAAACTATCCCAGCAAAAAACAAAATGAAGTGACACTTTTCCCAGAGTTGGGCGAAGGCAGATCAGTCTGTATTTTTTTGTAAGTGTTAGCACTGGTAGGTTTGGGAATCAATTTGACATTAGCCAGTGTTCAAGCAGATATTAAAGAGAATAACAAATGTGTTTTTCGTCATCCTAGTGGTTATGCCGTCAAGTGGTTGTTATCGGTGAGCGAACAGATGGCATTCTAAACTTCGATGTAGGTGAAGTTGTTGTCATTGTCTGTATTAGATGGAGTGAGTGTAGAACTCTGACTGCTTGGGTACTGTCATCCTGCTGTGGTCATCTGAAGGTTAAAGACTAGTGAGAATGTGCACTATAGTATTGTCAATGTTGTTAGTGTAGCAGGTTTGGAGCTGGCATTTTTCCTTACAAACTTAGTAGTACAAATCAGACACCAGGGGTTGCAACTGCAAGTGTTGATACAGAAATCTTTCCAAGTGTTAGTCCTTGTTTTATTTATAAGGATTTTGTAAGCATTGTGTTCGTGCCTATACTGGTCTCTAAGTGTGACTTTAATGCCCTGGCCCTGTTCATTCCAAAATTGCCTCCTTAATCTTCTAACTACTTTTCTTGTTTTCTAGCTCAGTGGTCCACCAAGGAACCAGTCCAAATATTATGGAACATGTCACAGAATAATTGACAGTTAGTGCAAGTATAGTGAAAACTATGATTGTTAGTATTACTAGTAGTGTTGAGTTGGTGAAGATATACCTATGGTCATTGGCAGAATCTGTGTCGATGGTATTACAGTGGTGATGTGACTGGATCGACCTAATGTTAGGAAACAATTTTCCCCCGTGGTATAGGAGTAGGTCGAAGGGTGGTTGTGTTGGGCCATGGTTTTGTTAACTACATTACCTCTAGGCTCATCTTTTGGACTAAGCCAGCTTGCAGACTTCGCGTTGGAGTCACCTCCTATTAGGATAGGTTTATCTTTGTATGAGTTCAGCAGGTGATGAATGTCTTCAATGGCTGTCTCAATGTTTGTGGTGTCTAGAATGTAGACGGAACACGTGTAAAGGTGAGTGTTATTGTCTGTACACAGACGGTGGTAAGATGTTCTGTGGTGTGTTGGGAGACAAGGCAGGCAGTCGTGTTTTTTGTTCCTGTTGAGAATACCAGCCTCGATGTGATAGCCAGGGTCCTGCGCTGGATAGACTTTCCAGCAGTTAAACCTGACTATCATATTGTTAAAGTGTAGGGTTCTTGGATCGTGATGATGCCAGTATTGTGTACATTGGAAGTGTGAATGAGGAGGGAGCAGGCAGCTTTGCATTTCTGTGCATTAATCTGTATGATTTTATAGCCGCCTATGTTCATCTTGTGTACGGGTGTATTATTCATAGCTGACACTACTGGCAGTTTGGTTATGGAGCACTGTTGAGAGAATGTGTTATGCACGGTCTTACGTTTGCTCCCTTCTGGTAGTGTGTTATTGGCCTTTGCACAATTAACGCAGCATGGTTCCTGACTGTGAATGCGGAAAACCTCATAACACTGTAGTCACTGCATGGACAACTACAGCTGTTTTTCTGTTCATTTCCTAGCTAGATTGCTGTAACCACAGCATTTTAACAGCATATGGGAGGGATGTAATTGTCTATTGCTATTATTGCCCATTGCACACTAACATACTGCTATTGAATTAACATGTTCCTGATACTAGGAGTGACCTGAAGGACAATGTGTAATCTAGAAGTTTCTGTCGTGTTGGGGTTTATTTTGGTTAGAACACAGCAAGAATCTTGAAATTCCTGGAGTATGTGTGAAGTATTTATTGCAGTGTTCTGGATATGGAATTCCCCTATAAAGGCACTGGTGACAGCGTAGCCAGGGACATTTAACAGAATAACCATAGGTTGTTTGGCTGCCAAGTATCTGATTTCTAAACTCTGTTGTTTCTAATTTTCCTCAGTGTTTTAACTGGGATTCCTAACTGACTAGGTTTTATGTTCATAGTGAGTGTTTGTCTTATTTTGTCTAATGTTTTCTTTTGGAAAAACAAGAACCGTGCTTGTGCCAGCACTGGACTGTGCATGTTTTCTGGATAATTTTGTGTTTGTTGTGTTAGCTTTTGCAGCAACACTAGCGTAGGAGGAGGCAGTGTCCAATATTTTGTTGACTTTGCTATCAATGAGAGAGCTGACCTTCTTGGAAACCTCCTGTTGAATACGACAGACATCAGCTAGGGCAGTGTTCCGCAACCTTTTTCTACTTGCGGCACACCCATGACTCAACAACGCACACCAAAATGTTATTCCCCTCAAAAACGTATGATATGATACTATTAATAGAATTACATAATGCCACTAACCTATTATTATTGTTATTAAACAGATACCAACACCTGTGAGCAAATTTTCTTTACATATAATTTATTAGAATACATAAAAATGGGTGGCTTATAATAAAGAATAAACAAACATCATCTTATTTCATTAGTGTTGCGGCAGAGAATGAAATACATACAAAAGATAACATAAGAAACACAACAACTGTGATGAAAATATATAAATAAAATTTGAAATTAACAGAATATGTAAAAGTTCACGTCACACCTTTCACCATGTGATGGCACATCAGTGTGCCGCGGCACACCGGTTGCGGAACACTGAGCTAGGGATTTGAAAACTGCTTCGCTAATTAAACTATTCAACATATCAGCATCATTGTTGTTGGGACGATGAGCCGATGCTCGGATAGTCTCATCTGCTAGCAAGAAAAGATCATTTTCAGCTTCATGAATTTTTGTTCTGTTCTGTTTTCAAACTGCAAAACTGCATTTTTCTAGACAGTTTCCTAAAATAATGTCTAAAGTTCCCTAAGCTTTTTACAAACAGACGAGACGTCCGAGCATGGGCTCCTGACCCCAGTGTTTCCAGAACTAGATGGACACACCATCTAGAAAGACCCTTAAACTGCCTTAAAACTAATAACTTAAACCAAGAAAAAGAACGGGAGAGCTGAAAACCAAAAACCTCAAAAATGGGGTGGCCTACAAAGACGAAACTAATAAGGGTAACAAAACACCTTCTAAGAGAACGAATTACAAAGGGAAAAACTAACTACAAAAATGCCAAAATAATAACTAACATCGAAAAAGCTATGATAATAGCTAGCAAGGCCTAACTATTATCTTACAATCGAAAAGAATGAACAACAACTCAGTAAAACCAGAAAAACATGGAAACTAATTGACTGAGATAAACCAAAATTATAGGGGAAGTTAAACACCTAACTATATAACTTAGACCTAAACTAAGACAAACCTAACTGAAAAGTTACAAAAGCCAGCCAAAAACAAGAAGGTGATTGAGTGGAAGTTGAAGAGAGAGTAAATTTAAATTGATTAAATAGAATCAAACCTAACTGTTTCTGTCTAGCAAAGCCAAAACAGAAACTGAGCTAGTTAAGCCTAACAAATGAAAAACTGACTCAAAATCTAAGCAGTAACAAGCACTTAATAGAGCCAAAGAAACACAAAAGTACACCTCAGAAAAAAGCTCACCAACGCAGGAATTTTTTAACAGATTACAGGTTTTTACAGTTATGGACTTTGGCGATCACGTGGCCCCAGACCCGTACGGCATAGAGGAGTGCTGGCTGAATTGCACGTCTGTAAATAAGCTTAGTAGCATTAGGGTCAAGGCCCCATGTATTCCTAGCATTGGCGTAGCCAGAGTTTTGTTATGGGGGGGGCCTAGTGGAGGCCAACCTGACACAAAATTGAATTATTTCAAATTATTGTTTATTATTGGGCACCGAGCAAGCCGTTCACCCTTTTTTAATATTCAAAAGTTTTATTTTAGCTTTAGGTTTTTACAAATCGACTCAACACTTTTTCGGCTGTGATTTCCTGGGGGGGGGGGCACCAGGTTCTCTGGGAGGGGCCGTGCCCCCCCAGGCTCCCCCTAGCTACGCCCATGATTCCTAGCAATACTAATGAGGGTGTTGGCCGTCTTTTTAGCTTTGTTCGTGACAGGACAAATCTAAATGACAGGAAATTATTATTAAACTACATATTATTTTCCCATTAAATCAGTAAGAATAAAGTTTAAACTCAAACGATATACAACAGAATAACAATATAATCAAAAGTTCACTTTTTATGCATAACTCAATTCTGCAGATGAAATTCGAGAATCATTATTTTAATATGTATTAAAAATTAATTTTTACGTTATGTTTTAGGCCAAGTTTTCATTATAGCAACAATGTTTCATTTATTCATTATTTTAGAAAACATTTTTGTCCTTTTCTCACACTTCAATGACAAAAAAGTGGCCTCACCAAATGTATTTGCTAGTGATGGGGCGAGTAATTGGAATCTAGCAAATCTGGTTTAACAAGAAGATTCAAACTTGTTAAACCTGACCTATGAAAAGGATAAATTTATTTAAAGGAAAGTTTTCTTTAAGGTGTTATTCAAGATAGATTAGTTCAGTTTACATAGAAGTGCTTTTGTAATGATTCGTGTGAATCATAACAAATGCGATTTGCATGATTGTAAGTAAAAAAATCTAGCAACAAGTTGATTAATTTTCCGGCAACATTTGTTATGATGAAAATATAATTATTTTATTAAAAAAAAC